GACGTCCCCGAACTCGACAACCCTGATTGGCTGTGTGACTTAGCGTTTCTTGTAGACATCACAAATCACTTGAATGTCTTAAATACGCGACTCCAAGGCAAAGATCAATTGATTTCGCAGCTATACTCTCATGTTTCGTCCTTTCAATGCAAATTGAGTCTTTTCAGGACACAAATCAATTCAGCCAATTACGGCCATTTTCCGAACTACAAAAAAATTATGGAGAAGTTCAATAAAACTGACGTCAATTTCGCTCATGTTGAAAAAATTGATATTTTGATACAAGCTTTTGAAAATCGTTTTGTAGACTTCAAAAAAGTTAAACCGCTATTGGACATTTTCAGCAATCCTTTCAACATTTCACCCGAAAATGCGCCGGAATTAATGCAGCTGGAATTAATAGACATGCAAAATGATGATAATTTAAGAAACAAATTTAATGAAGGTAATTTACTCAACTTCTACCGTTGCGTTGATAAAAACGCTTATAAAGAGTTGCGAATAAATGCATTGAAATGCGCAAGCTTATTTGGATCGACGTATATTTGTGAACAAACGTTTTCAGTGATGAAACTTAACAAAACGAAAAACCGAAACCGTCTGGCAAATGAAAATTTGGAAGCAATTATACGTGTGGCTACAAGTAATGTGGAGCCAAATATAAAAAAACTTGTTAGTTCAATGCAATGTCATGCATCAAAATAATAAAACATGAAATATTACATTGTAATGATTACATAATTATTACAACAAACATTTTTGAAGGTTATTTTATTTTTATCATTGTATTTCATACTATTTAAAAATAAAAAATTTTGTGTTAATAAATATTGTTTGTAGTGGCCCGTCCTTGGCTTATATTTTTCCCGAGTGGCCCCTGTTCCCTATAAGTCTGTGCATCCCTGCCTTAGACAAATTGTGGTGCCGAAGTAACAATAACAATACTTAGTAGAACTAGAAAATGCCAAGATTAAACAAAACAAGAGAAAATACGCTAATGATGGCAGCGATAACATATCAACAAGATCTCACTTGTTGAATAACACGGCTAATGTTAAATTTTTACTTTATTTAAAGTTAGGAATATTCTTTTCTATCGTTTTTTGTAAGTTTTAAGCACATTAGTGTATCTATTTTACCAAACACGCGTTGGTTGCTCTTAAGTACTTTCAAATCCTTGTAAAAATAAATTAATTTGAAGTTGTTCATTTTATAGTATCTATGTAAATAGTACACAAGGGTCAGATTCGGTCTGTGCAATTTCAACTAACGAGCGTTCAAATAAAAACGTGGTCGAAGTTGGCTCTGACACATTGGACGTAGGGAGTAGCTTATAGCGACCAACTTAACCTCATTTCTCAACGAGCTGTATAGCAGCTGTCAGTTTCGATAACGTTAATGACGTTAATTCGTTGCGGGTTGCCTAAATATGTGACGTCACACTAAAAGAGTCTACTGAGCTAGTAATGGAGAGATCGATCAGCGAGAAAGCTGATAATCTTTTTAGTTAATCTTAGTAAATAGGGAAAGAATTATGAAGCACCACAGAGACAACAATTTAGCATAATTCCAAATTTCAAAATACTTTTATAATAAATAGCTTACTTAGGTAGGATTTATAATATGAATTTATCAGTAACATCGGCATTTCCTTTGATAAGTAAAAGTTATCATTTCTTATTGTTTTAGAGATATTTCGTCAGATTTGGAAACAATCTGAAAAGCGCAATCACAGCTAATTGTAAGTAATAAATCGTAAAAAGGTATTGGTAAGCGATAAGATTAAATAATAATCTAAACATCAACAGAGCAACTCTGGGGTAGATACTGTGTCTTTTACTTATTTAAACTGAAATCAATATTGCTGTGACTAAATAGTCACAAACTGTTGTCTGGTGTGAATATCAGTGAAAAATCAGTTAAGGGAAAGTGCGTGATCAATTTTGCACAAGGTACAAATTTTTACGTATTTCTTCAGGCATCTTACACTTTTTAATTTCTATAAGTTTGGTACAATTTTCTTATGCGAAAATTAAATACTATCTGTCTTGATTTTATCTGCAAATCTTACTATTTATTTAAAACTTAACAATAATTGACTACAATTTTCATATCACGCCACATCGCATTTTAAAATTAATTAATTTTTACAGATATAATAAAAATAGGTATTATCGGGTAATTTTTTATAGATAAGCATAGCATCTTTAAAAAGATTCTGGTCTCACTTAAGTTTGTTTAGCAGAATTCAGGAAAAAAGCAAGTATTAAAAGTATGAAATATACATTTCTTTTTAGATTTATTATGTTAAACTGATTATAACCTTTCGTACAAAACAGAGATAACCTTTCAATTCACATGAGCACTCGAAGTCATGTGAAACATTTTTTCCTTTATTATATAACGCCACTAGTTTCCAAGATAAAGCTGGTTCTGAACTATTTAATTGGACTTTTGCCAGACTCTTCCATAACTGATACTTATTGCTGTAGAACCGACTGGACACTGGTTTCAAAGATGGGCAGTATTTTCAGGAGCGAAGAAATGGCCCTGGCTCAACTTTTCATACAGCCAGAGGCCGCCTATTCCATAATATCGGAGTTGGGGGAGGCTGGCTGTGTGCAGTTTAGAGATGTAAGTAAAATGTATCTCAAAAAATCATGCATCTATTATTATGGCACTACGACACGCGCATCTGGGTTTGCGTAAGTACTGGGAGTTGGTTGGGAGGTCCAGCTTGCATTCGTTGTTGATGATCAGTCCCGCCGAACGTGTCTCTAGTCCCGTAGAGCTGGTTAGATGGCGTGGATTCCGGTGGTACTGAATAGTCTGCGGTATCGCCGATGTCGTTGCGTATGCTTTTAGGCCTACCTTTTGGAAAATTATATTTTTTAGCGATTCAGAAAATTTATTGAATTTTTTTGGTAGCTTTAAAATAGAGTAAAAGGTATTACGACAGAATACTAGTAAATCACCATTTGTTTATATAAGTAGATGCTTTAAAATATTAAGAAATTGATGCTAAGACAATGCCTTAGTGTTAAAAATGATGTCACCGCCGTTCTTGGTGGTAAAAATTCGAAATTTTTGGAATTATTCAATTTTTGTGGCCGAAAACATACATCGATACTGAATTTTCGAAAGCAAGAGAGTTGCACTAACCAAATTTGGACAAGATATAGCTAATACAATGCGAAACACCGCCTTACTATTGAAAATGTTGTCACCGCCGTTCTTGGTGGTGAAAATTCGAAATACACTAGGCACAAAAATTAAGGGATTAAAAAAATCCCAAAATTTTGGGTGATTTTCAAAGAGCTGTAACTTGGAGGGGAATGGTCATAGAGAGAATAAAAAAAAGGAAATTGAGGCTTGAAGTGTCTAGTTTTCAGATCTGCAGTTAAAATTTTTTTAGCGTGAGCAGTTTTTAAGTAATCATAAAAGAATCAACGGAAAAAATTGTAAATTTTTGCTTTTTTTTTAAAAGATCAATGCACAAAAAATTTTTTTGGTAATTCCATCATAAAGCTCTTTTAGATAATTTAATTTTCTTCAATTTGAGCGATTTCGCAGCCTTGTACGATTAATTATCGTCGATCAAAGCAAAAAATTAATTTTTCACTTGTGCAATCAATCAATTACTCGGGAAATAATGGTCGTACAGAAAATCCAAGCAGGGTTTTGAAAACTGCAAAGTATTCTCTACAAGTCGTAATTATAGGATTTTGATAACAAAAAATTTTTCAAAGTGGAAATGTTGGTTAGAAAAAATTGCATAATTAGGGATATTTGAATAACTTGACATAACTTTGCAAATAATGAATGAACTAAGGATATCGACTGTAACTTTTCAACCTCAAAGTGTCCCGGAATGTTTAAATTTGTCATTATAATAGTAATTTTTCACTTTTTATTCATTTTTTTAAGTTAAAAATGTTTTTTTTGCAATAATCCGTATTTTCTTCATCAAAAAACGTTCATTATTCTAAAAAAAATTAAGAAAAATCCGTAGGCCTTTTTAAAAAAAACAAAAAATTAACAAATTTTTTTCCTTTGATTTTGTTATGATTACTCAAAAATTGCTGACGCTAAAAAACTTTAAACTGCAAATCTGAAAACTAGACACTTGAAGCTACAATTTCCTTTTTTTGATTTTCTCCATGGCCATTTTCCTCCAAGTTACAGCTCTTTGAAAATCACCCAAAATTTTGGGATTTTTTAAATATCCTTTATTTCTGTGCGTAGTATATTTGGAATTATTCAACTTTCCTGGCTGAAAACATATATACATAGGTACTGAATTTTCGAAACCGAGAGAGATGCACTAACCAAATTTGGTCAGGACATCGCTAATACAATGCGAAACATCGCCTTGCTGTTGAAAATGTTGTCACCACCATTCATGGTGGTGAAAACTCGAAATATTTGGAATTATTCAAGTTGCTGACACTTAAAAAATCAAATCTTATCCTTATCGAACACTTATGGTAGATTAAACGATCTTGAAGTTGTTGTGGATTGTGCAATCTACACGAATAATAGTATAGGATTTTTTAGAATTATTTAATGCAAATCGAATAATTTATTTCAAAGTAAATAATAATTAATTTATATCCATATTTATTTTCGATCAGAAATAAATTTTAAACACTTTTATTGACGACATTAAGCAATGTTGTAGATTCTCTACTTCGCCACAATCACAGAGAGGGTTCTTTGTAATTTACATTTTGAATTTATATATTTTTTAATCTCCGTGCTCAGTATTTTGAAATTAGAAACTGAATCTCCGTTTACGACCGCCTCATTTGCTGGTGTGTATCGAATATTCAATGACATTTAAATCCGTTAACGAAAAATGTGATTCTTCCAGTTAAACGATGAAGTAAGTTCCTTCCAAAGAAGGTTCGTCAACGAAGTGCTAAGGTGCAATGAGATGGAAAGACAACTGAGGTTCATTGAGGCAGAAATAAGGAAAGATTCAATAAATATACCCGATGTCACCGAAGTCCCCAAAGCTCCTAATCCGCGTGAAATTATCGATCTAGAGGTAACTTAGACTAATAGTAGCTACATCTGCTACTAGTTAGGTTTGTTTGCTTCCAATCTGGTTGCCACGTCATCAGTTAGGGGGCCTTGACCTTTCGCGAGATATTTCTCACTGAAGAAACTCTGAAACTAGAGATTATATGCTCTGGTTTTCAAAATTTCCTCCTTGGTCAAATCGAGGCTATAGAGATCTAGTACGAATCGAGATAATTTCAGTCGAGATGAAGAGTTAGAACTACTAGAAATTCAAAGACCAGAACGCCATAGCCATATTAACAATCTTCAGTTTCGGCATTTCTTTTGAAAGGTCAAGAAGCCTAACACCAACGACACTGCAACTAACACGGAAGTCTGTTTCATCAATATTTCCTGCAGGCGCACCTCGAAACAGTAGAAGGAGAAATGAAGGAACTCAACGACGGCGCTGTAGGCCTTAAATCAAACTCGCTGGAGATTAAAGAGTTCAAATATGTACTGGAGAAGTTCCGCTTGTTTTTCAGTGACCAGAACGAGGTGAACGTCTTCGATTCTGCTCAGGTAGCTCTTACCTCGGAGGAAAACCAAAACGTTACTGGACGATTGGAGTTCGTCGCTGGTGTTATTAATAGAGAAAGGGTTTACGGCTTTGAGAGAATGTTGTGGCGTGTCTCCAGGGGCAATATCTTCTTTAAATTGTTTGATATCGAAGCGCCTTTAGAAGATCCTATCAATGTAAGCACCGCTAACGAAAAATATTGAGAAACGTTTAATAGAAATACAACTTACAGGGTAAAGAAGTCTACAAAGCAGTGTTTTTCGCGTTCTTCCAAGGAGAACAGCTGAAAACGAAAGTAAAAAAGATTTGTACCGGCTTCCACGCGTCGCTTTATCCATGTCCCACCACTGCAGAAGAAGCAAAAAACATGCTTGCAGATATCAGCACACGCTTGGAAGACTTGACTATGGTAAGAGCAACGTAATCAGTAGAAACATGTAGAATAGTTTTTTTTTTGTTTAGGTTCTGAACCAGACCCAAGATCATCGTCACAGGGTGTTGATAAGTGTTGCGAAGGATTTGCAAAACTGGACTGTGATGGTAAACAAAATCAAAGCGATTTACCACACACTAAACTGCTTCAGCATGGACGTAGTAAAAAAGTTTATGATCGGGGAGTGTTGGGTGCCTTGCACTGATATTCCCACTGTTCAGAAAGCCTTAGCTGATGGTTCTGTAAGTTTTTACGCAACAACATACGTTTATTACATTATATACACTCTTTATTTTGATAGAGTACTTGTGGCAGTTCCATTCCATCTTTCCTGAACGTTATTAGTAACACCGATGAACCTCCTACTTTTTATCGAACCAACAAGTTTACTAGAGGTTTCCAAAACCTCATCGATGCGTATGGCGTCGCTTCTTACAGAGAAGTTAATCCAGGTATTATATTTTCTATGAATATAAATCATTACTTCCAATAATTACGACATCGAAATTTAAATTTACCTAGGTCTAAATTTATTTTTTTTAAGGTCTATACACGATCATAACATTCCCCTTCCTCTTCGCTGTCATGTTTGGCGACTGCGGGCACGCCTTAATCATGACGGCTTTCGGTTTGTGGATGATTCTTGCAGAAAAGAAGTTGATCGCGAAGAAGAAGAACGAAATATTCAGGATATTCTTCGGTGGAAGATATATTATACTACTCATGGGTTTGTTTTCTTTCTACACTGGCTTCCTTTACAACGACATGTTCTCTAAATCCATGAATGTATTCCGGTCGCAGTGGTTTGTCAATTCGTCCAGGTTTTATCCAGAGGATGACGATGAACATGAGCTTCTTCCCAAGGCGAATTATCACGGCACTCCTTATTTCATGGGAATCGACCCTGTGTGGCAGGTAAGTATTTAGATAAATAAATAAAACAAGTTTATTGTGTATTGTGACGATTGAAGAGTTTGCATATAAAAAATATGTAATATTTTGGCACTGAACACTATTATAGAATGAAAGTTAATTTTTTTTCCAGTTGGCTTCTAATAAAATCATTTTCTTGAATTCTTTTAAAATGAAACTGTCGATAATCTTTGGAGTAGTCCACATGATATTTGGAGTGTGCGTTGGTACTGCTAATTTTATGTGAGTACTAATTTTATGTTGCTGTTGTAAATGTAATCAAACTAGAATCTGTGATGCCAATAGTTTTCGAAGAATTTCCCCTTATTATTCTCTAATCCTACTTTTTATACACACGTCATTTATTTATTTTTTCATAAAATGCTAAATTAGTTTTATTCAATGAGTTTTACAGAATAAATAATATATTTCTGAGAATTTGAAACATGTACAAGATTCTGTATCATTTGATTTTCCCCGCAAATGCAGGTGATTGCCCTTTTAGTCCAGCCATTCAAGGTGCTTTTTATTTTTTAGGGGTGAAAACTACCCCTATTCGAAAATAATTATAGAATTGTAGATTCGAACGTGTAATAGGTTGAAATCATCTTTAAATAAGTAATTAGGATGAATTGAAAATTGTCAATTCCTAAAAACCACCCCCTATGACAGTAATCATTAAAAAATAATGTTGAAAAATATTATTCAGCAACATGGATTAGTTTAATCATATAGTGATATTAAATTAAAATTTCTTTACTGTTTTGTACTTTTTTGTTATTGTCCCAATTGCGCTACACACCATACAATATGCAGGGCGTAAGGATGGGGAGCAGGGCGGTTGTATGGTCTGCCGAGACAACTTCCCGATATCGGATAGTCGTAAAATAATTGTGACAATTCGCCTCTACATGAGGCAATCTGCAGGGTCCCTGCAGATTGGACCCTGTAGATTGCCCCGTGTGTAGGCCGCTTAAATTTACCCAAATAAAATAATAACTAAAAAAAGCGTTTGTAAAACATGCGTTTTCTGTTATCCTAACCCCACATTTTAAGAATTATTTTTACGTACTTATAAATAAAAGTAAACATATGTAGGACTAAGCAAGTAAATGTTATTAAGAATACTTACATGTGGAGTTATATATAAAAAAGTTAGTATTTTCGTAGATTTCAGTACCTAAAACCTTGATGGTTTGATCGTTTTTTGCACCTGTTTAGGTATTCGTTTTACTGCAGCGTCTTTGAAAATACTCAGGTGGCATGACATAACATTCCTATTATTTGATAAGGTTTAGATTATTCAGTTATTAAATGTTTGAAATTATTTGTCTTTGCGGAAAACACTATTTAAAGAATATGGGGCCATTAAGGCTTGATTAACTAATCAGGCGATTAGACTGTCATTATACTTTATAAATTAATATCTACAGTCTAACCGCTTGATCGATTAATCATGCTTTATCCGAGACTCAAAGTATCTGGCCTCAGATCAATATCTTTATGTTTGCTTCTTGCTTTTCTTATAATCTTATGGTTTTAGAAAGAGGAAATAAGTGCTTTGTCTAGATCACTACGGTTAATTTTTAATATTTTCTATTTCCGAGATATACGGTGTTCAAAATGAAATTCCTGAAAAAGATTTTTGAATATATTCAAAATGCCTAAACATAAATAAAAAATAAGGATAAACTGACAACTGTGAACTAGAATTAAGTAAAATGTTGTCCTCTCTTTCTTAGCGTGATACTTTTTCATTTGTTTAAGACCAGAATTTTAAAATTTGGACTTTTTTTACACGAAAAACGTGTTATTATGTTAATAAAAAATAATTTAATACAACTAACCGAGTTAAAATCACTTTGTACTCGAGCAAAGCATTGTCCAGCCCATGTGTTTATGGCAATTTTTTACCTTTCTATCACCGGATGATGGTTGGCCTACCAATCGCATATTTTTTAAATTTATCATAGAACAAGAAATAAACCACTTTATATTCATTCAGGAAATATTTCCAGTCATTTCAGAAAATATTCGAGCTTGTTCTTAGAATTCCTTCCACAACTTCTTTTCCTGGTCTTCCTCTTCTTCTACCTAGTCGTCATGATATTCATGAAGTGGATTTGGTATTCCGGAGAATTGGATGGTTGGAGTGAGTAGATACACATATGACTTTTCAGAATCTAAGCAAACATTTATTTCGCAGAACTACAGATTCGACTATAATGACATTTTGTAATTTTTCAGTTGACGAAATTGTCATTGAGCACGGCACATCTTGCTCGCCTTCTGTCCTAATCTATTTTATAAATATGTTTCTGATGGGATCGAGTTCCCCGAATGATGGATGTGACGAGTACATGTACGAGGGCCAAAAAATAATACAAATAGTTCTTCTCCTTGGAGCCCTTCTCTGTATACCAGTGATGTTACTAGGAAAACCTCTGTATGTCATGTTTACTAAAAACAAAGCCAACAAAGCTAATCCAGTAACGGTAGGTATCTATTTTTATAGTTAATGTTAATTAATTAATTAATTAATTTTAAAAAATTTTAGATTCGACAAAATGGTGGAACAAATCAAGAAGCGGAAGGCAAGGCAGACCATCAAGAACACGAAGAAGAAGAAGAGCCAATAAGTGAAGTGTTCATTCATCAAGCTATTCACACAATTGAATACACACTTAGTACGGTGTCTCACACAGCATCGTACTTGCGTTTATGGGCTCTATCGCTTGCCCACGCACGTAAGCATAGCAGTCTACCCAATGCAGATATAAATTATGACAATTTTTTTTTTTTAGAATTGTCGGAAGTACTATGGACTAAAGTTTTGCATTATTCATTGTTCCTTGGAACGATTATAGATTGTGTCTTGATATTTGTAGCTTTCGGATTATGGGCAGTTTTCACAGTAACCATTTTAGTTCTTATGGAAGGATTGTCAGCTTTTCTGCACACCCTTCGTCTTCACTGGGTAGAATTCATGAGCAAGTTCTACGTGGGAACCGGTTATCTGTTTCAACCATTTAGCTTCAAACTTATCTTAGAGGAAGATTCTGAAGAATAATGTTTCTATTTCTTCACCTACAATATTCATTTCTGATATACCGTCGTATAAATAAATAGTACTTTCAACATTGCTTTACTGTTTTTGCTTTTCAACCTACTTTTCAACCTATTAGGGCATAAATTAATTATCCCTTTGTGTATTACAAGCAGAAGGTAAAATATAGAAGAAGAAGACGAAATCGAAAATGTCATTTAATCCAACTTTAACCTCCAATTGTTATGTTATTCATTAACTGACCTTAATTGACGTATGTTTCTTAAAAAAAATAAACACACATGTTTAATAGATTCTACATGCCCGCAGTCATTAAATGTTAGTTCGACCGTTCGTGATTTCCGGCCACGTTGTATAAATTTTCGTGTACATACGAAATAACCAGACACAAACATGGAAAAACAAATCAGAACGTTGGGTGACGGAATGGACAACACTTTGATCAACAGGAAGCCAGTGCTGGGAGTCACTGGCATAAAAAATATTAAAGTGGATAGCAATTTGTCTAAAAGTATATTAGACTCATTAAAGCCAATAGCAATAGAGCCAGGTACCAAAGTATCCTATTTAGTGCCGAAATATGTTCCAAAGGAAAGAAAAGTGCCAAAATATCTCACCAAGAAACGGAAGGAGCCCAAATTTGTACCATATGAGCCTTATAAAGCTGCCGTTCAGCCAATTACTTCAAATAAAGTGATAAGTAAGACATTTGAGGAACTAAAACCATCAAAAAACAATGTTGAAATTCAACAACTCGTGAATCAAATGTCAGAGATAAGGGAGTTTGAACTAAATAAAACAAACATTGTTAGTCCAAAAGATGAAGATCCGTTAAAATTAAGATTGCAGTGGGAAAAGGAAAAGGAAGGATATGAAATCGATATAAAAAACCTCAGAGAAACAAATTCTCATTTGGAAAATCAACTAAAATTTCAGGCTCAAGTATGTTTTATTAAAATATAGTATTCATAATAATTGTTAATTTTTAGGTTAATAGTGAATTAAAAACACTTCTGGTGGCAGCTGTTGGTGAAGATTTGGAAAGTAGAGTGCAGCATCTAACCGAAGACAAGCTTTCCCTAGCAAGAGCTCTATTAAATTCTGCAAATCATTTAACGTCCCATCAGGAGCAGACCGAGTGGCTTTCGGGACAGTGTGAGGTGTGGAGGAGCAAATTTTTAGCATCTAGGTTAGTAACTATTTCTTATTATAAGTTAGTGTTGTTAAGTTTTTTGTTGTTTTTAGTTTAATGGTGGAGGAACTAGCCAAATGGAAATCAGCTCTTGCAATCAGATCGAACGAATTGCAAGAGGTTCTCAAGTCCCTCTTAGACGAACGTAAGAAAATACAGAAAAAGAATATGAAAACTTTTAGCAATTTAAAAGTAATAGCCGAGAAAGTTACAAGTGGTTCGAAGAACGTAGAGTTAAAGTATGGAAATATTATAGAAGTGGCCAATGTGAATCATGAGTTAACTGAAGGTGTATTGCAGGCACTGAATTTGGGAGACGAAGTTAAGAAACCTGGTATAAGTTCGACTTCGGTGCAAGTAACGGTCGCTGAAAAGACTGCGATAAAGGTAAAGTGATTATTTTAAATTTACAAGAACTATTATTTGGTAATTGTACAGAAAAACGGCCCAGTTTCTGATTTCGACTATTTGTTGCTATACATCGTAATTTTGACATCGAAAATTGTATCGAATCTTAAATTCTTGGAAATTTTACGTCAAAATGTATTTAAAACGGGTTTAATCGTAACATCATAATTTTTCTCAACGTTAAATAAATAAGGGTATTTAAGGTGCGATTTTCCAACTTTTTTTAAATTTTCAGTTACTGCAAAACCCCGTTACCATAACTAATAAGCAGGATGCCCTTTGCAATGCCGTCATGGGGGCCGCAACTTCCTTAGGTGGTAGGCAAATGTTCTTGCAACACCCTTCCTTGCATGCTTGTTGTTCCCACTGTAAAGGGGAGGTTTTGAATATATAGCAATAATTTAATTTTTTTTTTGTGTATTATTCTGGCTCAACTAACGATTTGTTGAATTTTTATTATAGCAGTTTCGGATTTATTAAAAATCGATGGTTCTCAGAAAAATTGTGATAATAAAACAAGTTTTTTAATTTATCCTACGCCGTACCAATAAACTAGCGGAGTTTTATGTTCATATAAATAAATACTATTTTTCACTTTAGGAAACTTTTTTAAAAAATTCATTAATTTGGAAAAACTTTATATATGCTACTTTGCACACGACTAGATTATACTTAGCAATTTTTTGCATTTTAATAAAAAACCATAAAAGAAAATAGTGTCACTAGTACAGCAATTTCATCTGATCAGTGAGATGCGTAAACGTGAGAGAACACCCATTAGTTACGTTTCCCCTGAATACGAATCTGAATTTTTTTTTTAATCAAATATTCGAATTATAATTAGTTTTTTTAAAATGCACTTTAATACTTGTGTACGCCGCTACTGCAATCATGTATTACAAATACATGAATTGTAGACAACCTACAATGCATGTGAAGGGAGATAGTGCCGGTAAACGGTGACGAAGTGAAAGGCGTCAGTTGTTCCGCATTTGGAGTACGTCTAACTGTGAATTTGAGTGTTTGTCGTCACTGGAAGCCCTTAAAAGCTTATACACTTTGTCACTACGCACCCGATCTTCACCGGCCCGATGAAATTGGTTCAACTGTACGTTTTTCTGCTAAAATTCTACCAATCTCAGTATTATAAGTAGTCACTTTTGATCGTTGATATTCATCCTACTTTGCTCAATACTTTGAAGCTGTTTGTGTTGGTTGTTCTGCTTAATAGACCAGGGCGGAACTGTTTTGAGGTGGATGTGAGAATGGGCAAACAAATTTTTTCTGGATTACCTTCAATACAACTCGCATAATAAAAGTGTAGATCCCTAGATCTGGGCGAGGTCCGGAACATTTTCAAAATTGCAAAAATGTTTAAAAAATTTTAAAAAATACCTATTTTATTTTCGAAGAACATTGAAGTGGAAAAAAGTTTGAGAATTGAATTTTGCACAATATACTGTAAGACAAAAATGTTTAAATTTATTACCGATGTTGCAAAATAGCAATAATTGACGAAAAAAAGGCAAAATAATCAAGTTTTTTGGATAATTTTTTAAAAATATTTTAATTGCTCCGAGGGCATTCTAATTTTGATAAAAAAAACTGGGATATTTCGACAGATCCGCCCTGGTCTATAATGTGTACTGATGAGGAATTTGATAAATGATCACAAGCCACATAATCAATAATTTTGTTTGATGGTAGTTTTATTTCTTTCACGTTGGCAAAATTAAAAACTGTAAGATCAAGATTACGTTAAAACACAACTTTACGTATCACCAGCAGGTGATTCGTGTAATTTTTCACGAGATTTTATTCAATTAATTGATGATCGCGTTATCTTGAAGTAAAAGCAGCAGTTTCTCATTGTTCATTATAAATTAACCGTTAATATTGCTGATGGCAAGATTTTCATATTTTTAGCTTGACAGTGCCACTGGTGCAATGTTGGTTGCCTATGTTCGGCAGTCACGTGGCTTGCAATCATTTATGAAGTCTGTATGTATTTTTATTCGAAGCATCATTTAGATATCTCATATTTTTATTTAAAAGAACTTTTGATTAAAATATAAAATTCCTAATGTAATTTTTATAGATTAAATCTGCATCACATGTTAAAATTTCTGCAGTTTCTATTTTTTTATAATGAAGTAAATATTTGAGGTATATTGTAGTCGACACGGAAAAGTGATTCTTTACAAAGTGTCGTTTTTGTGAGGAGGGTGGTGAATAATGGAGCTGGTCAATCATATTACATTTTATTTCAGAAATATCGAACCTACATTTTCCTATTATTCAATGAATTGCAAACTTTATTATGACTAAACACTATTATTTTTTTTATCAAATTATTTTTAATAATTTCCCTTTAGTTCGTTTTAATTATAATAGGTACACTTATTTCCGGTAGAAATTTCACTTTTTCAATCGTACTGGAAACATCTTTTGTCTTTTATTATTTATAAAACCTTTAAACTAAGTTTAATGTATAAATAAATAAAATAATTAACTTTAATCCTATTATCGTACTAATTATATTACATAGATTACATCAGTACATTTTATTTAAATTTCTTTTTTGGAATATTTTACATGAAGTCAATAAATTGCATTGATGTATCACACTTATTTCATAAAGCTTCCTATAAGAATGTACACGTGTTGCATATATCCCAATCCGAATCCTACCAAATTAAAAAAAAAATAGGGAACAAAATTTTCCTAATTCCTCGAAAGAGGAGAAAATCCAGGAGCATTTTTTGAGCATCCTGATTACATATGCAGGGTGTCCGCAAATTTCCCCAAACAACGTTTCACTGCATATTCACGGCGATAAATAAATACCATATATGAAAAAAAAGTTTTTGGTTTTTGAGTTACAAGCTTTCAAAATTGTCAAAATTAAAACAATCCCTTTACCGACTGCGTTAAAAATTGGCATATTTATTTGGACTATTATGGCGTATTATTTCTTAAAGCTTTAGTTAAATCGATATACTAGGTGATAGTTTTCTCCGGTTACCTCAACGTTTTAGCGGTCAAAACTTTTACAATAATCGTATTTATTTATCGTCGTGAATATAGTCAAACGTCGGTGAAATTTGCAGACACCCTGTATAAAAGTGCCGCACAGTATTTGAACAAAAAAAAAACGAATCTCTTATAGTGTTCCTTCTGATACTGTCTTTAGTCGAGATCCAATTTCGATACCCCATATTTCGCAAAGTAAAAAATAAATCGATACCCTACATTTCCGGATATACTGGATATTTTCACTTCCTCTAATATCGATTATATCCTCTATATCACACTAGCTTTTAAAACGAATTTAATACAAATGAAGTGGAAAACGCGTCATTTCACGAGTTCTAAACAAAAAGTTTCACAGCCAATCAAGTAAGTAATTTTTTTTACACTTTTGTGCTTCGCCTGATGTTGAATTAGACACTGAATTAAATAGAGGCAAGTATTTTAAATTCTATGATTTGGAATGGAATATATTTAGGTATGTTTTAAGATTGCGGGAAAGACTATTTTGAGAACGACCTATACATTTTTATAGGAATATTTTAGTCGGTTATTTGAACGCAGATTATTTTTCTTGGAACTTAGAGTCGCAGCTACTAAATAGTGGGAAAAAAATTGATGTCGGTATAACAGGAATCACATTTTAGCGTGATTCAACCAAAACATTTTTTGTCGAACAGTTTCTCTATTAAATTATTTTTAAACTTTTTTTTTTTTTAAATATTGCAGTCTTAAAGCTTAGAGCAATAAAATTTCATTAAAAAAATCAAGTTAATTCTAAAAATTATGGTAAAATTCTTATCAAATGTCAGTAAGATAATTTTTGGAGTTAATTTTCATAAAAATAATTTAAAAAAAAAATCTACCAACGTAAGTCGTTTCTGGGCGCGCACAGACTAGTAAATGTTAATAGACCGCCCCTTCTGCCACACAAGTCTCCGACTTCTGGACTGCGATTAGGATTGAGAAAATGTTAAATATTCGAAGGAAAATCACGCTAAAATTGATCTTTTGGGAAGTAATGATGAAATGAACTGGAGCCTAGATCTTCTACAGGGTGTCCCAGTTTAAAGGCATACAAGTTGTTAACAAAGAAAAAAACAAACGAGTCATGTAGTTTTTCATTAAATACACATGAAGTCTGTTACGATACTTTTTAGGTGTCTAATTTTTTAAAAAATTGTTTCACCGATTTTTTTATATGAAATTTCTGCAGGTTTTTAAATTTTTTTTACAAATTTTAAAAATATGCAACCCAGTATATTTTCATTTATTTCGATTTTTATTTTGTTTAAATTTTATTAAAAATGGCAATTTTGTACTTTTATGTGAACAATTTAGGCTTTTTCATTCATTTAATAATTGATTGATAGTTAGAAAAAAACATTATCTATAAAAAAACGCTAATGGAAATTGATATATCGTGAAAAAAATTGTAGTGGTAACATTTTTAGGGGCAACGCCTTCGGTGTTGCCAAATTTATCCACAAAATTAGACTGAAACAAGGCTAATAGCTACAGAGCCTTAATAAATGATTACAAGCCATGTGACCGTCGAACTTAGACAACCGATATTTCACGGGTGATACTGTCACTAAATCCCTGAATCTTAAGAGGGCTCTATAGCAAATAGGCAACCAGCAATACATTTTTATAGATTTTATTACACAGTTTGTCTAAATATGAATCAGTGCACAAATAATAGACTTTCCTCCATTCGAAAGCAGTTTTTCTATAAAATGGAGTTGGTTTGAAGATCAAATTACTTTTTGTTGTAAAGAAATTTGTAATTTGCCGCTATTGCATCGTAAATTACAAATTTCTTTACACCAGAAAGTTGTTTGAATTTCAAACTAAGTCCATTTTATGGAAAATCTGCGTTAGAATGGGGGAAAGTCTGTTATTTGTGCATTAATTCACATTTAGACAAACTGTGTAATAAAATCTATAAAAATGTACTGCTGGTTGCCTATTTGCTGTAGAGCCCTCTTATAGTCGGTGAAACAGAACATTGTGCAAACAACGCATACTGGTCACGTGGTTTGTAATCATTTATTAAGGCTCTGTAGAACTCGTTATAAAATATCTATTTGCAAATTACGAATAACAAAAAATTATTCCGTTTTGAGCCGTAACATGTTAAGTAAGTTTCTAATTATCCAAATTCGTCTAATTTGTGACAAATCTGGTAACGATGGTTTCTTTCTAATTTTTTCAATTTTCAAAGATACCGTAGCGACCTCTAGTGAGCAAAAACTAAAATTAAACGATTTTTTGCAGCCTTATAAATTGGTACACCCTATACGTACCACCAATTTTACCAAAATAACAATTTTGCACTCTGCTTAGGAACGTTAGTGAATATTGTAGAAAGTGCGTTCCAAGGAAAACTAATCCTTCCCGTTCGGTTCATAAAGTAAGAAGCAACGGTTCAAGTTAAGTTAACCGGTTTAATGCCCAACATATTAGATATGTAAGACGCCTTTTTCGCATCGAATCTGATGGAGGAATTACATTATTTAATTAAGTATCAGCTTAATATAAAACTCACTTGCAATACAACTGTATCCCCGCCACTTTTTGCATATATTAAAAAAATTAAAGCTATTTCACTTCCGCTGGCGCCGAATACAATTTTATTACATAACAATTAGGTAACCCATCATATAATATATTACAACTAACTCATTTAAAAATATTTAAGAACGGAAAGGTGAGTGAAAACCTTAAAAAATTATCGTTTTAAACTAATACGCATTACATTATGAGCACTTCTTTTTTTTTATGTATAATCACATTATGTAATAATTGCATTTATAATACTTTGGATGTATTGCTACACTGTTAATATTGAAGCAAGTTATCTTCAGGTTTCTAATGTATATTTACATGTGTTGTGCGTTGTTTATAGACATTATCTACCACTTCTTATACAGTTAAATTCGTAATGTAATAGTTTATATACCGTGTCCTAGGGTGCTTTCAATTGAAACGACAACTTAAAACCGCTGGAAATGTCATTCTTTCGGAGTTTAACCGAAACAAAACATTTGGCGACGGCAAGAAAAACGTGGCTCGGGATAGGAAGGGTGAAAGTTTGTTCTTATACTGTAAATAAATGCCGTGGCAACGCATTTGTACGGGGCGTTCCAAAATGGCGCGCTGAATTGGCAACGGGCGATGAATAGACACCTGACCAGCCAGAATCACTAAATTTGACCTTGAGCTACATTTTTATAGATTTTATTCCACAGTTCGTCTAAATATGAATTAATGCACAAATGACGGACTTTCCTCCATTCTAACGCAGATTTTCTATAAAATGGACTTGGTTTGAAACTCAAATGACTTTTTGTTGTAAAGATATTTGTAATTTGCATCGTAAATTACAAATTTCTTTACACCAAAAAGTAATTTGAGTTTCAAACCAAGTCCATTTTATAGAAAATTTGTATTAGCAAGGGGGAAAGTCTGTTATTTGTGCATTAATTCATATTTAGACAAACTATGTAATAAAATCTATAAAAATGTATAGAGCCCTTTTAACAAAAGTTAATTTTAGAAAACCTAGGCACTTTTTTTAAATTTGGTAAATCACAATGTTTAATTAATAATTTGGGTGTCAGTCAAAAAATTAGGTACCTTGCGATTTTATTAATCAATCAAAAAAATTTCTGTTACGGTCGCGGTTTTCTTACAAACGTTTGCGCAGTTTTAAGTTTTTTTTTTAGTAACTTACCACCCTACTTTGGTTTGATTAATTCGTTAACTTTAAATTATGAAATACTGCAAATTGATAGAAAAAAAAAAACAATAATCTACTGTTTATGTGGCCTAAATTTTCATTGAAATTTATCATTTTCGAAATAGAGTCGAAACGAGTTCTAGAAAAATATCGCTATCTTCTTTTCTGTGTAAATGCACATTTTTTTAACACAAGAGGCCAGTTTAAATAAAAAAAATTGTGAGAAATTCGTAACAGTAGTGAATATTTTGCGACTGGTTCTGATATCAAAATCCCTTTGCAATATTTAGCTAAAAACAGAATCGCAAAATACCTAATTTTGTAGCCGTGGAACCAGAAACACTTTTCATAAATTAAAAGAAAGTGCCATGCTCTGTCACGCTTTACTGGCTCGACATTAACTTTTGAACACCCTGTACAAATATGAATACCATCGCTCTCTCCCCTGCACAATCTTTGACTTTCGGGGCAACCCTATTTTAATCCAAAAGAGCGGTAAAGACATTACTATTGTCCGAAACATTTAATCAATTAATTTTTTTTTTATGATAAAATTCCCTTCCTATCAGTGATACAAAGAAATATTGCTGAAATATTTAGTGTTCGGCTCTACGTGGAAAATATTCATTAAAAGCAGCTAAATGTATTCTAGGTTAGCACTAGAATCGCCCGAACGAGGATAATATTTACGTGTAAACTAATTACCGTTAAATTACTCGGAAATACATTTTATTACAATGCAGAGAAAAATAAATCGACCGTTATACATTACACACAAAACGATTTATGTAAATCAGTTTTTTCCATATACAGAATGCCCCAGTTTGTACGTATACAGGCCATTGTAAAAAAAACAACAATTTTCAAACGTTTTTTTAATTAAAAATGCTCCTGAACGTGCTTATTTGGAAATTATAACTTGATTTATTTATGACTTTTTTTTAATCCGTTTTTAAAAAATTTTGTTACTGATTTTTCGTTCGGAATCTAATAAAAGGTCGTTATTTATTACGTTAATGACCTGTACGTTTATAAACTGGGTAATATGTCCCCGTATTCCACTTGCCTTCAAAATTTAATTCCTTAGATCGGGAAATTTTACTGGAAATAGTATTTTTATTTCGGCATATACAGCTGCGTTATTTCAAAGTCATACATAAATCGCAATTAAGAAAAGTGGCAGGTGTTTTCGACGTAAAAATGGGCAATATTTAAACGTTTTCCATTTTTATACCGTCTACAAATGAATTTGGCGATGACATCACGTTAAAAGAAAATTTTAGGCCGATACTATTATAGGGGCGTTGAATAAGTTCTGCGTATCTACCAACAGATGGCGTTGCCAGAACGGCGTGCGTGTAGTTTAAGATGTCAAAGCACCTATAAAGAAGTACTATAAGTACACAGAATTCTTGTTGAGACTTACGACGACCATGCTTTGTCACGAGCAACATGCGGAGACTGATTTAGATGCTTTGGAAATAATGATTTCGATGCTGAAGGTAAAGAACGCTCTGACGCACCGAAACAGTTCGAAGATGAAGAATTGGAGGCGTTAGTTCATGAAGACTCATATCGGACGCTAGCTGAACATTAGACGTTGATCACACAACAGTTTCGGAACGTTTGAAAGCATTAAGAATGATCCAAAAGCAATGTACGAGTTAAAGACGTCGAAAGGCGTCCTTGCACTCATGAACAGTTGTTTCAACGGCAGAAAAGGGAAGGTTTCTTGCATCGTACCGTGACTGGCGATGAAAAATTGATACACTACGATAATTCTAAGCGTAGAAAATCGTGGGGTAAGCCTAGCAAAGCCGAATATCCACGGTTCCAGACTTCCGCTCTATACTTGGTGGAATCACTTGGGTGTAGTTTATTACGAGCTGTTCGAAACGAATGAAACCATCACAGAAGATCGCTAACGACTAAAGTTGATGCGTTGGAGACCAGCATTGAAGGAAAAACGGCTGCTATACGAGCAGACACGACAAAGTGATTTTGCAGCATGACAACGCTCAGCGTTGTTGTACAACCGGTGAAAACCTGCTTGGAAACGCCTGTCTCACCCGCCATTGCCCTTTCCGATTATCACTTGTTTCGATCGATGGCATATGACCTGGCTGTACAGCACTTCCATTTTTACTGACATGCCAAAAAATGGGTCGATTCTTCGATAGCCTCAAAAGACATGTTATATTTCTGACGTGGAATTAAAACGCTAGCGGAAAGATGAGAAAAAGTAGCGGCTAGCGATGGAAAATACTTTCGGGGACAATTTTTTTGAATAAAACGATTTTCGTGAAAAAAACGAGAACTTATTCAACGACCCAATCGAAAAATTGAAAGCACTAATAATTCTGTGTGTAATGTATTTTTGACAGTTTTTGCCTATAAAATACAGGGGTGCCCACCATTGAGATAATGTCGTTTAATTTTCTTCAGGGGAATAACAATTAAAAAAAAACTATGTTAAAAAATACCAAATTTAGACGTAATGAAGCTGTTATTCTCAACGTTTCATTATGTAGACAAGTTTTTGTGAGTTATTTTTGCCATAATTTCGTTTTTTTTTTAAAAAAAGAAAGAAATAAATCAGTTATTCGTATATGACCAAAATTTTCCTTTTGTTAAAAATTATTAATTATAATTTTATCACTTTTTTTTCTGCTATTATACAGAGTGTTACAAAAAAAGTAGGTTAGATGTTAACCAGAGCTTACTTGAACAAAAATAATGGGACTTTTCTTATGCCACTTTTCATTTATGCGTTCACTGCTTTCAAAAAATTAAAAAAAATTGCGCTGGATGAGTTCAATTTGTAAAATCTATATTTAGAAATGAATTTTGATCTCGGAAAGAAAAAATAGTATAAGAAAAGTTTCGCCTAAAAAATCAGGGGCCGATAGTTGGACCTACTTTTTGGAATCACCCTGTATAAAATAAGTTTGACAAAACGTTACATAGATCTTCATTTTTATAACAATCAATTTTATGTAATTTAGGTTTTAATAAAAAAAAAGAAATTTGTGCATATTTACCGCCGTTTTTAAAATACTTCATATTTCCTTGATATGATTGTTAAGTTACACGTCGGTAACTGATTGTCCGCCTCAATTTCGGGAATAACAGCCCAACAACACTAAACGCTAAACTTCCGTGAATAACCTTTCCTTTAATTCGCGTGAGAGAACTACATTTTAATTGGGTTGCGGTCTTCTACGATTTGAGGTGCAAATTTCCAACTTACGTTTTATTTAAAATCTATCTGAAGGTTTCCGGTGGGTGTGAGTGTTTTACATCCAAAAGTAAAAAGCACGAAACGCAACACATCCGGCTTCCCTATAAATAATAATCGATAAAATAACAATACACCATATAAAAATCATAAAATTCGCTAGGTCGGTGGTTAAGCTCAAAAATTTTGAAAAGAGCAAAATTCCAAGGACTGTTGCTGTCAGTAGACCCAAGACACCGGAATCCATTGTGGTGTTGTTTGGACCTGTTCGATGGCGGCCTCTAGTGCGGCTATTGTTTCATCGATATCGTTATTGGTTATGGTTAAGTCGAAATAATGCCCATAAGCATGGCGCAACATGTCAGATTCCTTAGCTAGCCGTTCCAAGCTACCGTCGAACTGAAAACGGTCATTCAAAATTAGGCTCGGTCGTGGAAATGAGTATAGTTAGCGAGTTTTTTATAGTTCCGGAAACACACATTGGACAGCGTACAGCAATCGAGTAATTATATTTTTAGTTTCTCTATACAGGGTGTGGCGTGTATAATCTATATTATACGAAAAAGTTCTATTTTTGCGTTTTTTTTTTTCGTAAATTAAAGTTAAATTGTGGATCGAAATATTTTCTCTTGAACGGTCCTGTCCGTGTGCTGTACGATGAGTTACTTGCTGTTGAACAGCCGCGTAAACAAATCGTCGTTGAAAAATAGAAAGATACATCACAAAACAAACCATTAAAATATGGAACAAAGTGAAATAAAACTTACCATTTCTAGAGAAAATGTTGAAATCGCTCCCCATAAGCGCGAATACAGGCATGGCACCGACGCACAGTGGGAAATATTGGAAAAAATTCGAGCCACACGTCAAAACTAATCAAATAGTACTGATTTTTTTTTAATTCTTTATGAAATTACCTGTACTATAAAGTTCCGGTGAGGTAATTGGAATATATGCCTAGGATTTTTTCAAAATGGCCGACATATTTGGTATCTAAAAATGAAAAAAAAAGGAAAATTATGTACTAAAGGCTGCCAAACAAAAAAAAAATCATAAACATTAAACATATTCCTAAATCATGAATTAAGACCCAAAACATAACCTCAGATTTATAAATCTTAACCAAAAACGAACATACTCAATTTTTTCTAAACCTGTGAGTACAAATCCATAAAAATTGTACTTTTGAGTGTGCAACCAATATTTTTGCATAACTAACTCGAATTCATAGGATGCTGACCAAGAAAACTGAAACCCTAACCTCAAATCCAAAATAATTAAGTTAAAAATCTACAGAAACAATATATTTTCTTCAACAAAGGATATGATTGCTTCAAAAAGACATTCTGCAATATATTTTTACCTGTGCATACCTAAAATTTAAATCCATAAAACGTAACCTCAAAGGACTGGAACCTAACCTCAAATGTTTAAAATTTAAGCTAACAATAAAAAAAAAGCAAACAAACCAATCCATTTTAGGTTAAGATTTATAAGATTGAGGTTATGTATTGGGTCTAGATTCATGATTTAGGAATGTTTTAATGTTTATGATTTTTTTTTGTTTGGCAGCCTATAGTACATCATTTTCCTTTTTTTTTTTCATTTTTAAATACCGAATATTCGTATGATCGAGTTTGAGACTAGATTTCACGGCCATTTTAAAAAAATTCTAGGCATATATTCCAATTACCTCACCTTAACTTTATAGTACAGGTAATTTCGGAAAGAATAAAAAAAAATCAGTACTATTTGATTTGTTTTGACGCATGGCTCGAATTTTTTCCAATATTTCCCACTGTGCGACGCACCCAATTTTGGCGAATATTTTCCCAAATTCCAGGCATTCCCCTAATTGTATACGGTTTCGCAATTCTTCCACCGTAGCAATTGGAGTGTTGTAAACCAATGACTTCAAGTGACTCCAAAGATAAAAGTCCATTGGAATTAGATCGGGTGATCGAGGTGGCCACGTCACAGGACCAAAGCCCAATCCATCACTGAGGAAACTTTCATTCAAAAATGTCGTTACTTCTCGAGTACTGTGTGGGGGAGCCCCATCTTGAAGGTAAAACAAACGTGCCCAAACTTGTAATGCCAGATCGTCCAATAATTTAGGCAACCGGTTCTCCAAAAAGTCAGCATATGTTGGTCCATTTAGTCACCCTTTAAAGAAATAGGGACCCACAGGTACATCGCCTATTATGCAAGCCCAGACATTTATCGAGAACCGATGTTGAAAATGGGCTTCCCTAATCGCGTGAGGATTTTCATCGGCTCATATGTGCATATTATGGAAATTCAATTCATCACGTGTAAATGTCGCTTCAACTAGTACACAAACATAAGCAGGAAAGTCTACTTGATTGGCACATTGCCGTAAAAACCATCTGCAAAAATGCATTCGTTGATCCCAATCCGAGGCTAAAATCTGTTGAACTAGTTGCAGATGATAGGGGTGCAACAGCTGACGCCTTAAGGTGCGATGTACGGTACGAGATGAGGTTTTTACTAGCTGTGCCAGTCGTCAAGTACTAATTGTGGGGTCTTCGTCAAGATTTTCCAACACTGCATCTTCAACATTAAGGTTCACTTGCTGACCATCTCCTTCTCCTCGAGGAATAACACTTCCTGTATGGCCGTCGTTCCCGGTACAACCTAGTCGCCGCGAGCGCATTTTCTCCGGCTGCACCATACACTAACACCATATCGACACGTTCGGAAATAGTAAATGCTCGGTTCATTGTAAAACTACTTTGTGCACAAACTAAAAAATTAAGCAAAGTAAGAAATAAGAATCTTGTTTTTAATGTAATCGGCACGCTTTTCTTATTTTTTACTTTATAAAAATTACACTGTCACTATCGTGGACTTACAACTTTTTCTATTACAAATATCATCAGGAAGTTTAATTTATATAGATTATACACCACACCCTGTACAAATCGCTACTGATCGATCAATATCAGGACGCTAACTATACTCAAAAAGATCCCGTGGGATTAAATTGGGTGCTACTTACATCTGCTATATTTTGCAGTGCTGGAGCAGCAATGAACACAACATATGGTGAGAACTCAGCAGTTCGTNGAGGATTTTCATCGGCTCATATGTGCATATTATGGAAATTCACTTCATCATGTGCAAATGTCGCTTCAACTAGTACACAAACATAAGCAGGAAAGTCTACTTGATTGGAACATTGTCGTAAAAACCATCCGCAAAAACGCATATGTTGATCACTATCCGGGGGTAAAATCTGTTGAACTGGTTGCAGAAAATAGGGGTGCAACAACTGGCGCCTTAAGATGCGATGTACGGTACGAGATGAGGTTCCTACTTGCTGTGCGAGTCATCGAGTACTAATTGTGGGGTCTTTGTTAAGATTTTCCAACACTGCATCTTCAACATTAAGGTTCACTTGCTGACCCACGTTCTTCTCGAGGAATAACACTTCCTGTATCTCGCAGCCGCTGAACGCACTGTAGGATTGTATTTGCATATGGGGGGTGATGTTATGGCCATCGTTTCCGGTACAACCTAGTCGCCGCGAGCGCATTTTCTCCGGCTGCACCATACACTAACACCATATCAACAGGTTCAGAAATAGTAAATACACAGTTTTCTCGGTTCATTGTAAAACTAGTTTGTGCATAAACTAGAAAATTAAACAAAGTAAGAAATAAGAATCTCGTTTTTAATGTAATCGGCACGCTATTCTTATTTTTTACTTCTTTATGGAAATTACACTGTACCTATTACAAAATAAAAATTTTGTCTGGAATCTTTCACTTTTTAACACAGATGGGTCAATGGACGATGCTTAATATTTAATAATTAAGTGAATAATGAATTCAATACGAATACAAAATCAGTCGACTGCACAAATTTTTTGATAATGTAACCTAACCTTCTTTTCGAATTACTAGTATTAGATTATACCGACTTAAATTATAAAGTTGCATCTCGGGTCGCACAAAAACATTTCCAAAGTTTTTAATAAATAACACAGGGTCGGCCTTCGTTTTCGTTGAATAAATGAACTTTAATTTACAAAAAAAAAAAACGCGGTGATAGAACTTTCTCGTAAAAGACTTTTCTATTACAAATATTGTCAGGAAGTTGTAATTTAATTTTTATAGATTATACACGCCACACCCTGTACAAATCGCTACTGATCGATCGATATCAGGTCGCTAACTATACTCAATAAGATCCTGTGGGATTAAATTGGGTGCTACTTACATCTGCTATATTTTGCAGTGCTGGAGCAGCAATGAACACAACATATGGTGAGAACTCAGCAGTTCGTAGCACCTTAAGTGCCTGTGGTTCCACATCAAGAATGGCCATTTTCCCTTCTTGATGTATTTTGCGGATTGTATCCAGTTTAGTTCCGTACATGGCGTCCTCGTGGGTACCGTACTCCAGGTACTCATTGGCGGCGATGTCGGCCATCATCTCGTCGTGCGACACGAAAAAGTAGTTCCGTCCGTTCTCTTCATCGGATCTAGGCTGTCTCGTTGTATCTACAAGTTTCGAAAGGAATAAATTTTATTTTCTTGAATCGACAAACCTTTAAATAGTGTCACAATACACGCAGAGACTTACGTGGTATTGGATAAGCATATTGATCGGGATGTTTTGCAATAAGGGTATTTTTTATGTGCCTCCTCCCAACACCATGAGCTCCTAATAGCACCAAAGTTTTTCTTTGAAAGGCTGGGTCAGACACTAGAAACAAGAGATGTCTTAGAATAACGTCAGTTGGTAATCTCGTATCTTTTTATCGTCGACGAGGGGAATTTCATACTTACTCGGCAATTTTACAACCTCCTCGTAGGTAACTAAATCTAATTGGTCAAAAACTGCATTGTGCTTTGCCAAATATTTGTCCTTGTATTGTTTCTTTTTTCGACCAAATATTGAGCAATTGACTGAAAACAAAAATAAACGTTAATTGCAATCTGAGAACCACCTAGGTGTTGGTCGATCCTCATTCACAGCAAATCGTCAAAGGTATTGACCGAAAAATGCTTACATCGAACCGATTTCCTCAAACCCGCTTGAACGTGTTCGTAAAAATCTTGATATCGCTATTCGTTACTGACTTTACTAACTTCTGTTTTGTAGACCGATTTTAGAAATAGTTTTCATTTGACGAAAATTTTTATAAAAGTTTTTCAAAATATATTAACATGTAAGTATTTGGGATTTGATATAGTTTTACAAAACTTTAATTTATATGGTATACAGGGTGTTCAAATTTATAGGTGCACCGGTCTTTAACAAAATAACTAAAAAGCAGATCAAGTTTAAATATTCTTTAGTAAATAGATCTGTTTTGAGGTGGATGTGAAAGGGGGCAAGCAATTTTTTTCTGGATTACCTTCAGTGCAACTTAATAATAAAAGTGTAGATCCCTAGATCTGATGACTTATGGATATGAAAATTTTTTCCAGCTTAGAACTCGGTAAAACGAAGCCACTGCTAAATTGTTTATAAATTAACAGTAAATGCCGACAAACTTTGACCGCTTATATCTCGAGAACCAATAAACGGAATTTAACTTTTTTTTTTTAAAAAAAGAAGCGTCTTTCCGAGTACTTTAAAATTATAATTTTTGAAAAAAACTAAATTGCAAATTGATAAATATAATATAATTGAAAAAACAAGAAAAAAGAGAACTTTAAAAATTTATTCTGGCCGTCCAAATCAATCGATTTCAATTTTTGAAAAACCATTTGAAAGGTTGAGCGGTCTTTTCTATGAGAAAAAATTTTCAAGTATCTAGATGCTTTATTTGAGGCTGTGCATTTTGTGCATTGTGCATTTTGAAAATTCAAAATTTTTTTTCAAAATTTTCTTCAGAAAATTATTTTACGAAAACTATCAAACCGATTTTAATGAAATTTGGTGTGTTGTTTTATTATACTCTAAAGTTTTTTTTTATCAAAATTAGAATGCCCTCGAGCAATTCAAATATTTAAAACAATTTTTAAAGAAACTTGATTATTTTGCTTTTTTTTCATCAATCATTGCTATTTTGCAACATCGGTAATAAATTTAAACATTTTTAACTTACAGTATATTGTGCAAAATTCAATTCTAAAACTTTTTTCCTCTTCGATATACTTCCAAAACGCAAAGGTTCCAAGATATAAATAAAAAACTCAGATAAAATAGGTATTTTTTTATTTTTTAAATATTTTTGCAATTTTGAAAATGTTCCGGACTTCGCCCAGATCTAAGGAACTACGCTTTTATTTTGTGATTACTGAAGGTATTCCAGCAGAGATTAGCTTGCCCCCTCTTACATCCAAGATGTGGGATATTTTGACAGATCCACCCGTCTTTGAGCATATTTAGAAATTGTGACTTCATCAAAATTGTAAATTCTAAGCCTACCATGATTTCCTTTTTGAAAAACTGTATTGTTTTTCTTTTGTTTGAAATCTAATCCAACCTAACTAAATGTTATTCTACACCGCTTGTTTTTTGAAAAAATTTGTACGCATAGTCACCGACTCTGTTATTTTAATAACTTACTCTCACCATCTTTTTACGTTTTATATGTCACTGGCTTGTACACCTACAAATTCGGAACACTCTACAGATTGTGGCGAATTTTATACCGTACAAGTATTTGTTAGGCAAATTTATGAATTTGTTGGTTTAAAACGTCGGGGAAAATGTTAATATCCATTTCCATCAACAAGCTGTCATGCAATCTGTCAAAATTAAATGTTTTATGTTCCCCAGCAGATCACAAAAACATATCTATCTACAAGGGAAACATTTGCAGTATTAAAAAAATAGAAAGTTACGAAAAAACATGGAGATGCTATGGGGGGGGGAGGGAGGGAGATCATGCGCTACAATCTACTAAGGTGGTAATCATATACCTGTGGTACCATCACAACCATTAGCATGAGAAGTACATCCTTTTTCCACGTCTGGCATTCAACAAAAATATAAGTCACACCAAAATAACTTTTAGGTCTGAATTTTATTTGGGCGCATTTAAGAACCTTGAGTTAGTACAAGTGCGAAAATACGTCGATATAAATCTACAAATGATGCGAAATTGAGAAAAATGTCTTCGATAAGTAGAAAAAAAAACAAGATTTGATGATTATACTGGGTGTTCATGTATATGAAACTATCACAGATATTATAGTTCGAAATGTCGAAATTATGTCTGCTCAAGGTTGCTTTCTTTAGCCACTAGCGGGCAACAAAGTAAGAAAAATATTTTTTTTCCACACTGACGTCTTCTAGCGACTAAACGAAGCAACTTTCGATAGACGAATTCTTTTCCACTGGTCCACAATGAAGTATAGGAAAAAAAAAAGTCTACGCATTCACCCATTTTAACCGTACAGTGGTAATTTCTTTTAATTAATCTTCAAATATGTTAATTTTATGATCCTGGCGCGATAATTTTTTAAATGGGGTGAGAACCCATCACCTACACCCACAAAAATTTAACCTCAAACCCTTCAAAACCTAATCCCAAATCCTCAAAACCCAACATCAAATTCTAAAAACTTGAGCTAGAAATTCATAGAAACTTATATACCTCTATTCTGAAATATCTAACCTCAAATCCAAGAAATCTGAGCTAGAAAGTCAAATGAAGGATATGTTCCAAACCAAAGAATGTGATTCTTTGAAAACTCTCTTCTGGGGCAAATATTTTGTATTTCTGAAGCCTGGAACCTGTGCTGTGTCCATAAAAACCTAACCTCAAACCCTTGAAACTTGTTCTCAAATCCACAAAAAATAAGTGGATATTTAGATAAAATGTCATTCGAAAAACTATAAAAATTTCAACAATTTCAGCTAAATATTCAAACTCAAAATCTATATTTTTTATTGAAATTATTGGATTGTTTTTCTGTTTTTTATTTTCATTTATTTTTTATATTGTTTTTTCTTTTTGCTTTTTTGTTTTTTCTACTTCTAATTTTTGTTACAAATTTTTTTTTTAAATACTGAATCTTTGGTGTTGAGGGGTTTGTGAGATGGGTTTTCACTAGATTTAAAAAACTCTTACATGGATATACCAAATTATCGCACTAGGATCATAAAATTAAGCATGTTACGGAACAGCAAAATTTTGCGAATTTATTAATTTAATCATTAAACAAGCAAAGTTACGTCCAATATTGACACATTTTCATGCGCTATTTGAAATTGTAATTAGAAAATAGATATGTTATTGTAGATTATCCTTGTATTAACTCTGTTTAAATAGTATAAAGTTAGTAATCATGTTTACGATGTGCATAATTTACACAAACACTGTTAAGATATAGATTTCATGCTTACACCCAAACTCATGTGTGGCGTTTCCTTTTAAAGCCCTATAAAGCAAAGATAAATCCGATTCGAATTACCCTGACCTAATTATCGTGAACTTTTTATTGATACGGCGAAAGATTTGGCTTATTCAGAAAAACGATCGCATACGTGGTTACACCGATGCAAAATTTATGTCACAAGCCGAGATACACATACTGTGATGTACATTAGGATAACATAGCGACATAGCTCCACTCTACATCTAAATTACGTACTTGTAAGTTGGACTTTTTTAAACTAACTAGGTCAATTGCATCGTAGAATACATGTTTTCGTTATAAATGCTCTTGTCTACTTCTCACATGAATTTGGGCCACAGTTAGCCTCGTATTTATCCGTGGTATATTTTTTTTAAATTAATTCATGCTACACCAAGAATGCAGTCATCTAAATATAGTCCCTGATGACTAGAAGTAAGTTACTATATATGTATTCGAGAATCAGTAGTGATCAGGGTTTTTATGAACTGCTGGAATAAGCAAAACATTCTAAAAATCATAAAGTATATTTGTATAAACCTTTGGGAAATTGTCAGTATTTTAAATACTTTTTTATATTTTATTTAAGCATTGTGAACACACTAAAACAATATTAGGAAAAGAAAATAGTGTATAAATGTTTTATAATTGCATGCCGTTTATATTTTGTGATACATTTAACGTTATTAATGATAAGCAAAATATTTCGTGTAAATGGCACTGGTGAAAGAAATAATTGAAAGTTTGTATGTTAATTTGCCTGCAATGGAACGGTTTGTTTATATGATAAGGTTAAACGTTCTTAGGACGATTTTTACCTTGTTCTTGTTTAGTTTTCTCCATTGCCGCACAAGCAGCTCTCCACTCTTGCAACTCAGGAGAAGGAATAAGGCCAGCAGATCCAGCAGCATTGTCCTTTCTTGCTTGCCACCAATGGTGATCGTCTTTACTAATTATCTAAAAAATAATACACATATTATTAAATATACTGGTTTACTTTTCACAAATTTACTGCCTAGGTACAATAGTAATGATTTAGTAACATAAAAAAGTTCTGTAGGTAACATAAAACTGTGATTTTGAAAAGTTTTGGAAAGTTTTTGATCATAATCCAAATCCAAAATTTGAACCTACTTAAGCTTTTCCTAACAGCGTTGGCCTTGATTTTCCCGATGATGCACAAGTGCCCGTCTTGTTTGGCGTTTGTTTTTTGGAAGTACGCCATAGATTCTCGCGTCCGCGTCCTTTACATATTTTTTTAAAGAAATCCGGTGATTGTTTGTTGCAAAACGTGTAGAAATAGTGTTGTTTCTGTGTTTTTGAACTGTTGCGTGCTGTAGTTATAGTGGTTCACAGTCCCGTTGAATCGAGACGATTTTGCAACGGCAGAGACATCATTTAGCTTCCGCAGGACCCAAGGTAGGATGTTGTAAATACATTAGAAATCTCTAATTGGATTCCTTGTTTTCTTTAAAAGTAACTAGTAAATACTACTCAACGTAAAGATCGTGGTATGTACCTTTTTGGTTTTTCTACCACAAAGAAAGGAAAAATATAAATAAATATAAGTAACTGAAAATTCATTGGCCAGTCGCCATTCGTTAATCTAGTTTCTCGGCGCTACCACCGGGGGCGCTGTAGTACTTGTACTTGATTTAAATTTTTGAATCAACTGAATTTCATTATATTGACAGCTATGACGTTTCTAATATATTCAGTTGCGTTTTATTACTTTTATTATTATATCGTAATTATTATTATATTCGCGTGGAAAATTTTAAGACAAAATGGATGCTTGGATGTCAAAATACGTTTATTTCCAAACTCCGTTTGTAAAGAAAAAATGAACAATTTTTCGAACAACGGTTGAATTTGATTATATCTTTAAATAATGAGGTTTTCTATGTTACATTTTTTCAATTACTGACTTATTGTTTACTGAGGAGCACCTCTTCAACAAAGTACGCCATCTAACGTCGTACAAGTTAACAATTTTGAAAAATCTTTAAAATTGTCACAGTCCTTTCGGATATACGGTTATTTAGTTTTTCTTGTTTAGTTCGGCACGAATCTAAAGGAGGCCATACACTTACGGAGTTAGACAATGTCTGTGTTTAAACATGACTGGTAGGTTTTTTGATTATGTATTATTTAAGTAGGTCAAGAATATTGCAAAACTTCGAATGTGCGTATTGGTACGCGATATGTCTGTGTAATTAATTTGTTTCAAAATAATTATAATTTGCTTTTAAATAAAAAAATTATTTTCATTTTGTCTAATTTTTGGACAAAATTGTTCTCCTAGTTGTATTATATTCTCTAATGTCTGTATGACGCGACACTAATTTGCATACAAAAATAGAGGTTATGTTTTTATTGATTTATAAAAATAATACAAAATAAAGTTAAAAAACGTGAAATTTTCAGCTGCTAACTCAAATAACGCACGAAAATAGGTTTTTGTTAACAATTGTTAAAATGTTTTAATAACAACATTTAGAGTTAATTTTACATTCAAAATTTAATTCATGTTTTGATTCCAAGTTTCAAAACCAGGTATATCATATTTATTAATTTTTTAATTTTTGTTTAAAATTCTTCACCTACTTGGATTACTTATCTTCTAAAATTTAATTTTTGAGCTACTTCTTAGAGACTTTTATAATAGCTATAGGTTTATGATTTACTTGTCTGGTTATAGAAAAAAAAATAAATAAGTTGAACTTACTTGAAGAATATCACCAGTTTTAAAGGCAATTCCGGCTTGCGCACACGGTATAAGGTCATCCTCTAGTGGGTCATAGTCGAACTGGGCTCTAACGAATATCTGTAATAAAAAAGTTGAACTTTTAAGTATATTTAGAACTAACTTAATCAACACTCATGGTTTTTAAAAACGCACTGCTGATTTGTGTGTCATATTGTCGCGAAATTAGTCCTAGGTGCTTGTTTATACACTCGTGTACTTAATTGTATCTAGAATATGTTCTCTTTCTTCCTTTCATGTTCTTAGAAGCTTAGAAATTGTTCTATTCTATACTATACTTAGAAATCTGTGGAAATTTGGTCTATGGTTAAGTTTATATGTATTTGTTATTGTGAACTATCAACGTTGTCAAAGTTTATAAATTGTAGTGTATTAAATTGTGCTACATAAAGGAAATTTGGTACAATATGAATAAACTTGAAATGGTATGTCAGTTTTGTGAATCTTCGAATCATGCATTTTGTAGACTAAGTATATAGCAACTTTTTTCACGAATTTAAATTTTACTTCGTAATACAATTTTTTTAAATGTCGGTAAACGAATATTCAGAGTTGATTTTCATTATAGAAATCTCTGGGAATTCGCAATCCAGCCACCTCTAAGCAGATATTGATTTTCTTACGCTTTGGTTACTGTTATAGAATTGCCAGTGTTGCCCAGGTAATTGCAAATAGTTAACATTTATTAGGTGAAGTTTATCGACGAATTAAAGGTTTTCTTTAAAAAATTCGCGCATATACATTTTACGGAACTTTATATTTTTAGATGGTCACTGTAACAGTGGTTCGTATTTCCTTCAATATTAACAGTGGTTTTACTTCCCCCCCAATGCCATACAAAAATTCACAACTAAAAGTTCAGATCAGGACATTACTTTGGGCATTGGTAATGCCTTGACGTGCAGAGTTTTAAATTTGTTTTCGTAAAATCGGAGTCAAACAATTTAATTATCGATTTAAAAGTAAAAACTATAAAAATTAAAGTAAACCTCTACTGAACTGTCAATTTTCTGTTGATAAAATCAATTTTATAGTAGCAAGTTGTAAAAAAATAAAACTGTCCTACTAATAAACAAAAGAAGTGATCTACGAAATCATGAAAACATGCTTTAAATAGCAAATAACATCTACCTAACTCCTAACTACCTCAATAAATATATCTAGTCTACTAATGTAACAAAAAAAACAAAACATAAGCATTACACCAGCACCAGTAGAGTAATTTTGTGTACTTACTAAGACTGGCAGAGGTTTAATCCGGAATAACTAGATAAAAACAGAAATATATGAGTAAATTAGATATATAATGAATTTTGATAGAAAAATGATTCTCCTAAACTAATGCAGTTCGTGTATTTTTGGGTGACATTATCTGGTGGAAAGTAAAACAGGAAGTTTCAAAATTACTTTTCCTCGGTAGCACGTTTTAAATTTATGAAGATGCTTTTAAGATGTTCATGTCTTTCCTTCACTCCCTCTTTCTCTCTCCCCCTCTCTCTCTAATTATATTGTCCCAAATTTTATCTTAAATAGGGTAGAAAAAATTGTTAACCGTGAAAGATATTAGGAAATGTACAACAACATTTTTTCCTATACCTTGTTCTGAAATAGCGAGGAATAATATAATTGTAATAAAAGTTTATTATACAGGGTGGTTTTTGAGGCAATGTCATGGCATAGAAGACAACCAACATTTCACGATCGCTACTGTCTAGATAGAATAGAATTCCATGAAAAATTACGCAATCACAGCAGGTGAAACGAAATATTGCGTTTTAATGTAATCTTGAACTTATTGTTTTAATTTTACCGAAATTTAATTGCCAAATTGCCGCATTACTGGTCACGTGACTTGTGATCATTTCTGGAGGCTCTGTACCAGCAATATCTAAACAGATAGAATCGTTCGAAACCTGTATATGCCTGGTGGTTCGACTGACTAACGATCATAGCTGTTTCCTGGATGTTGCAGATATAACTCAATGCTGATCGGGGCAGGTAGCAGCAGAGTAGTTGTGTTCTTCAGTATCGTCACTTAAAATCTATTATTTATATACTGAGCAAGTAAAATAAGTGTTCCTATCAGATGTTTAATATGTTTTTTATGCATAAATTTTTTAAATGTCTGCTGTGTCTACTGCGCACATGTGTTATCAATTTCCAATTAAAAAAAAACATTTTCTTTGCTCTTATACGATTACATTAAAAATCTGATCATTTAAAGCCTTAATAGTTCAATTAAATTGATCTTTAAATCGCAATTTTGCCTGAATTTTTGAAAAAAGATAAAGTTTTTTTTTTAAGTTGACTCAAAAAGGGTAAAAACTAGAAAAAGAAGTATTTTATACAAGTTCTAGGGCATAAAATTCTGCAAAAAAAATGGTCTATTGACTTTTTCTTGTACTATTAAAATTAACAGAGTTATGGAGGCTAGAAATTAAGGGATGATTTCAGAAATTTAAAAAATCCTAAGCAGAAAAATGAATGAATTTTTTTTTCAACTCTAAAAAATGTCAACTCTTTTCAGAGAAATAAATTTTTTAATTTTTAATAAAAAAGATAACAATTTCAATTTTTTAATCATTAATTTGTATGATTTAACACAAACAGTTTTTTCTGTCATTTGATTGATTATTTAAAATATAAAAAGTTGCTTTCGAAATTTTGTTGAACGACAAACATAAAAAAATCACGTTCGCTTTGTGAAATTGTTGTAACTTATTTACTAAAAAATAAAAAATATATCTATTTCTCTGAAAAGATAGTTTACATTTTTTAGAGTAGATTGAAAAAAAATTATAAAATTCATTCATTTTTCTGCTTGTTTTGATTTTTTAAATTTCTGAAATCATCCCTTAACTTGTAATCCCCCTAACTCTGTTAATTTTAATAGTACAAGAAAAGGTCATTTTTATGTAGAATTTTAAGCTCTTCAACTTTTATAAAAAAAATAAAAGTTTCTAGATCTTACCCCTTTTGAATTATCTTGACTCCTTTATTTTATCTTTTTTCACTCCCGGCCGGGGGTTGGAAAAAAAATGACTGTCACTTATTGTTATTAAGTATATACCTTAAACTAACTTATATCAAAAATTCAGGCAAGTTGACAGCAACAGCAAGGATCAACTTTTCACAATGCAACAAACTCAAATGGTTTTATGTAATTTTTGAGTCTACTTAAGTAATTTTTGTTGAAACGTCGATTAAAGTTTAAACACTATAATTTGTATAAACATCCTTTCTTATAATAGTTTAGTAATAATATAACACAAATACCTGCATGAAGTTAATAGATGCAGCCCACAAAATTCTGGCAATATGCCATACAATCAAGGTACGATTTCAGGATACATGAAACGTTATCTCTGTTTATTGTAATCTACGATTTCACTCACACATTTCTTAAGATACAATTTCCCCAATGTAAGTTATTTAGTCGAAAACAAATTTAATTACGCACGGATTCTATTCGGTTACGTTCCTAGGATCTAATAAATTTGTCGGTTTTAGTTCGGTAGTCTGAAGCCCTTTTGACGTGCAATTACGTCTACGATAGCGTTAGTCTGTTCAGTAATATACGAGTGATTTTCATTAATGTTGAAATTTATTGCTATAAACTAATAGCAACTGTCAATCGTCGATTTTTCGCGACTGTCATTTTTATAACTACGTGTTATATTTTAACTATTTTTCGTAACACGAAATTGTGTTTGGCAAACTTTATTCAAGAATCTTCTTCGAGTTAATAAGATCACCAATAAAACGATTTGCGTTTCATTATATCATACAAAAATCAGTTATTTTATAAATGTTCTATTTGAGCACACTCGTTAAATTGTTTTTCCTGCCCCAAACGGCCTTTTGTTTGGAATATTTACAAGTTTATATCAACATTTTCCACTTAATTAATATTTATTTCGCACTGAACATTTACCTTTCGTCTACTCCAGTCCCAATTTTACTTTCAAAGGTTTATAAAAGCCGGGTATAATGCTTATAGAGCCTATTATCCCTTTCTGGGTTGGCAGGACGGGAAACAGTATAGCCGGAAAATGGGTCAGTTTATTATACGGCCTATGTTGGAATGAATCTAGTCGCAATGTAACGCATTTTCCGCGGGACAGTAATATAGTTCTCGTAAATAAATTATCAATAACCGCATGGCCCTGTGATGATTTAGATACCTAACTTTTCGTCCGCTACATTAAAATAGATTCGTATTCATGAACCTTTTTAGTTTTTGGAAATTGCGGATTAAATTGCGTAACAGTTGTAAATTTTGCTCATCGTAAGGTGAGCAAAATGTATAGTTCCTTCAAAGCTTGAAAAAGCCCGACAAAAAAAAGTCCAACCGCGTTAAATCGCGTGATATGGGCGGCCAATTCTGATCACCAAAACGGGAAATTACACGACCAGGAAATGACTCATGCAGTAATTGGATTGTTTCTCGGGCTGTATGACATGTGTCACCGTCTTTTTGAAAACACGTCTCCATAGGGAGCACCACTAACTGTTATTTCCTGATCAGCAGCACTTTCGAAGAAGAATTATGTGTGTGTATCAAGGGAGTTATAATGATCTTAATTAGCGGGAGCAACAGGATAATAAGTTGCCCAAAGTTATTAACATAACTGATAATTTTATTTCTTACCAACCAGATACTTAATTGAAATAAAATTCAAAGAAGTGTTGTGAACAATGTGATGTAGGGTACGGCGAAGTGATATTTATTTCTGTGGATGCTATCAACTCGTTAACTATGTAAACTGAAGTCTTTTAAACGTGAAGGAGCTTTAAAGCATTGTCACGGCAATGTTACTGTGGTAATTAGCAAACTTTAAAGACGACTTTAGAGAAAAAACAAAAGAAAATAATTTTTCTAGAAATATAAGAAAAGCTGAACGAGCGAGATCCAATATAGTCCAACTAAATGGGCTTTCAAATCTCAATTTTAGTTAACTTGCCTGAATTTTTGATATAAGTTAGTTTGAAGTACCTATATAATAACAACTAAGTGACAGTAATTTTTTTTTCAAACACCGACCAGGGGTGAAAAAAGATAAAATAAATGGGTGTTTCAAGATAACTCAAAAGGGGTAAGAGCTAGAAAAAAAAGAAAGATAAAAGTTGTGGAGCGTAAAATTCTACATAAAAATGGTCTATTGGCTTTTTCTTGTACTATTAAAGTTAACAGAGTTGGAGAGGCTAGAATTTAAGGGATGATTTCAGAAATTTTAAAAAATCGTAACAACCAGAAAAATGAATGAATTTTATAATTTTGTTTCAATGTACTCTAAAAATGTCAACTTTTTACAACATCAGTTTAGAATTTTGTCCACCGATCGACGTGTAAACACATTTGGGTCCGTCTTACCCAGTTTCTGCGAACCAACACCTGGTCATGCTTAATCATAACACAAATGCTTCACCATAAATTAAAACGATATCCATCAATTCCGAGTTGCTATACGCGAAAGCCATTTTTGACACTAACTACTAAAAAACGTTTGTAAACACTATCGCAACGACGATTGTAAAATCGGATTTCAGTATTCGGAGTCACTGAGGCCATGTGGCTCTCCACGCGTATTGCGAATGACGTTAGAGACTACAGTTGTTCAGCTATGTAATGGTTGAAAGTACTACAACTTCAATCATTTTTTCCTCGGAAAAGGATTTTACAATTTTTTTTTACGATATTGACTTCATTTCTCACCTATTCCCAAATTTTTTTGGATAAGTTGTGAATCATCCTGTATATACCTCAAACTAACTTATATCAAAAATTCAGGCAAGTTGGCCAAAATTGCAATATAAATGCCCATTTAATTGGACTAATAATAGTTTGATAAAATAAGATTGTTGCACCGTGTTCAAGAAATAGTATATTTGTATCATTTTTATCACATTTATTGCCTATATTTATTTTATATTAGTATGAATGATACAGTTCCAATTCTGTACAGATTACATGATTTAAATTGAAATCTATGATAGTTATTCGCATCAAGTTAGATGTCAAAAAAAATCTGAATTGCAGGCATTTCTTAAGAGAAAAAGTAAAGGTTACGACTTAAAAAAGTATGAAGTAATTATTCCAGATGTTAAAACAATATATATATTTGCGCTCGATGAGTATTTAAAGATTTTTCCAAAATTATGAATACCAGAGGTGTGTATTAGGGTGGCCCAAAAAAACGAATATTTTTTTTTCGTCTCTTGTGAAAATATGTTATTTTATCATGTTTTAAGAGCCCCCTCAAAAAATCAGCTCAAAAAAATTTGTTTTAAATTTTTTTCTCGTTTTTTACCATTTTCTAGGTTGAAAAAAAATTCGATTCTGAAAATTTCAAATGTATATTTGAATTTCTAAAGGTCACTCATAATTATTTTAACTTTAAAAGTAGTGTACCTAAAATGTTTTCGAGCGACCTCTAAAAATAAATATCAACGAACTAATAATTTTTTTTATTGAATTTGATGAACAAAAAAAAATAAGTTCGTTGATATTTATTTTTAGGTCGCTCAAAAACATTTTAGGTACACTACTTTAAAAGTTAAAATAATTATGAGTGAACTTTAGAAATTAAAATATCAATTTGAAATTTTCAGAATCGAGATTTTTTTTCAACCTAGAAAATGATAAAATAACGAGGAAAAAAATTAAAACAAAAAATTCAATTTTTGACGAGTTTGGAAGTTTTTAAAAATCTTGAGCGACCTCTAAAAAATTTTTTTTGAGCTGATTTTTTGAGGGGGCTCTTAAAACAAGATAAACTAACATTTTCTCAACAGACGAAAAAAAAATCGTTTTTTTTTTTGGGCCACCCAAATGTGTATAGTTCAACCAGTGGAAAAAACATTTGTTTGGAAAAATTCCACGCCAAATTGTCAGTTCTTTGAGTTTGCTAAATCCAAGTTCCTATAGAGATCATTGTTTGCGACGGATTTTGCCAATGCTTTAGGAAATTCAAGTATGACAATAAAGGACACAGCAGTTGGAGTAGCTCTACGCTGCGAAAAATTATTTTGCTGTTGGTTTAAAAGTAAAAAATTAAACTGCAGCAGTTAGCTGATAAGTTATTAATGACGTCTTATAGTGAATATGTACTAGAAGTTAAGTAGACAAATCTCACATTTCAAGAACCATCTTCAGCGGAATTATAAATACTCAAAGACTTTAAGAGAAAGTTATGGATGGGTGTAATTTTTGTATAGCCTTCATGGCTTGTTCACTGATCCGAGATCACACTGATCCGAGATCACACTGATCATTATTGCGTGTCGCTATATTCTTCATCTACGCTTGCATAGATAATAATTTTAGTCATTAGTACACTCTTCATTGCACATACCTTACTATGAAAGCAAAATAAGCTGCTATATGCGTAATCAACACAATACCAGATGCAGAAAAATGTGTGTGATGAACAGTAGCATTCTGCTGGTCGTAAAAAATGATCATGGAAAAATTCTTACGTATTGTGTGTGGTGAAGATGTTTCATGTAAATATGTATTTTTTATACACTTACCTCACACGGCGGCGGAGCGCTTCTGTACGAAGGTACAATTTTAAACGTGACTGAACCTCTGGCTTCCCTCTGAAAAAGAAAACAATACTTCTATTAGGTTAACTTTTTTTTTATCAAGTCTCAAACTTTCTGATGCAAGTAGGTGTTACAATTAGATAGTGGAATGTTTTTTCTTATATCAAATACATAATTGAAATTAAACTGTTAAGAAAAACTTATATTTGGAAGAGTCTTTGATGTAATTGTAGTGTAAAATAGGATTAAACTATAAATACTTACGAGAATTTTCTGTAACGCGTTTACAGATTGGTTCATGACCGGTATCCCATTGATTTCCCTAATTTCGTCACCAACGTGTAACGTGGCCTGCCGATGGATCATTCCCCCATGCATTATTCTAGCAACTATACATTTTCCATCTTCGTTCATCTTAAGCGTTATACCCTGCAAGAAAAACGACTCATTGATGAATTTATTCCCTGTATCATTGCGGTTCATAATTATCATTCCTTTGTCTTAAAAGACCACAGCAAAACGGATTCAAAGGTAGATGTAGATGGAAAATTCATGCCATATCCTTTCCTGCAACTTTTCGGTCTATTTTTGTAGACTACATTTTTTATGTGACCTCACAGAAAAAAGTCAAGCGGAGTTATATCGGGAAACCTAGCTGACCCCAGAAGGTCGTAGAGTAACGTTTTTTTTTAAATTCCTGTAATATACATTATCGAGAAATGAAAATCGAAAAAGATATTCAAGAAAATCACGATAAAAAAATGTTTACTTTTTTCAGTCATTTTTGGACACGTGAAATTAATAAAATCGTTATCTCTCTTTTTTACCATGAAAGTACAACTCTTGAGGTAAAATGAGCCCTAATTCGTTTCTCTACGATTTTCGAGATGACCTTTTTTTCGAAAAAGCGATATAACTCGAAGAATTTTTAATATTTTTTAATTTTAAAAAGGCACTTTTTTTGCTTGCCGAGGGCTACATTTACAACAAGTAACAAGTTTGAACTTAATTTGCAAGAGATACAGCAAAAACAAAAAAGTCGATTTTTGACGGTTTTTTCAATATATTTCGAAAAGTAATATAGCAATCGATATATTTAAAAATACGAATCGATAGTTTTTTTAATAGCTACAACTTTCTCATTTAACTTAATTCGATTGCAGTTCGTTTTTTTTTTATTAACGAAAAACTGTTTTTTTTTTTACTTTTATGAATGTTTTAGGTTAACTTCGTCGTTTATGCGCCATAGGAAAAAACCACTATCTTTCTTAGAATTTTTTTCTATATCACCATATACTATTCGCCTTCTATCGCCATATCCTATATTCATCAAAACTTGAATACGTTCGGTTTCATAAACGTATCATTTTTGCGAGAAAATTATTCACACTAAATTATTTTTGACATGTGTTGTCAAGTTAATCACTATTAAACAAAAGAACGGCTCGGCGTTGTTTTGGAGAAACTTTCAAAGGTAACTTGATGGACTATAAATAAAATGGACTTTATTTTTGTATAATTTACAAGAAAATGATTTTCAAAGTTCGATATCTTGAAAACGGTCTCGGAAAGTTTAGGTACATGATGTGCCATATGAATTTTGTTTAGAATTTCCAGAAAAATTGAAATATGGATATGGAATATACAGGGTGTCCCATTAAAGAAAAAGCAACCTTGTTTCGTCATGACTTTTTGACTGGTCCTGTATACTTTTCTTATAATGGATTTTACAAAAACCTAAAAATTAATTGTTTGTGTTTTATCATTTTTCAAATAACTATCTTACTTTAGGAGATAATCGACCGATTCTATGCATATCAGCGACCACTGTATAAGTAAATTGATTTTTTCTTGCTTACCATGGGTTCGTCGGTGTTCTTCTGGAACTGAACCAGCCTAACCCTCGTTACGTTTTCCATCTCGACCTCGCCATTAGGGCCGTCCAAATCGTCGCCGCCGTTGAGGTATGGGAGTAGGGGGGGTGGCGTGACCCGTACGGCATCTTCTCCGTAGACTTCGTGGGCCACCACGTCGTGAGCTTGTAAAAGAGCCTGAAACAAATGCAACAGCTGATTAATAATCACCTTAACCACCAATTTAGCAGTTAATATCTATCATTTCCCATAAATTTTCAGATATTCGAGACAAGCCTTAGTATTTTCTATTTTCTAATTTCTGTGGGGTATTTTTGTAGTTCGTCATACAATTTTATGTTTTGATGTTGGGTTGACGTACGTATCGATTTGTTATATTCACGTACGGTGTTTTTCTGTTAAGTGCTTAGAAATTTAATTAATATTTTTAACTATAGTGTATTCAAGGAATATTCCAAATAAACGTAAATGGTTAAGCCGCTTAAAATATATGTACAAATTTAAAGCTCACCCTGTATAAACAATAATAGCCCATGATCGAGGCGCTGTCACAATTTTTTTAAAGCTTCACAAATGTATTACGGAGGATATATTTTTTTGAGGAAATTATATTCTGGAAATTCTCCATTTCTCTTAGTGTTAGTGAAACAAGGGACTCCGAATTATATTTGCTTGGCGTGTTATTGATTCGATCGCGTGTCTCGATCAAGTAGATAAATGCGAAACTAATTTGGAAACAGAATGTAAATAATTCGACGAGGATTCGTTATATCCCGATAGGTTCAGCCGTATAGGGGCAGGTTGTATTTACAAATTTAAAATTGCCCGTTGGGATCCGGTTGCGCGAATCTATTCATGAAAAATTAAACAAGCTATTTCGAAGCAATTATCCGATTTTAAACAATATTTCCCAGTCTATAGTTTGACGGCAGAGACAGTCGTTTTGTTCGAAAGTAGGCCCCGCAAAAAAGTGTCCAAAAGTTAGAATTTGAATTATAAGTTCAGAGAAACATTACTGATTAAATATTTTAAGTAGAAAATATGTTTTTACACTTTAAAGTATGTTGGTAACATTCGATTTTTTTTCAGTTTTTAAATTTATGCAAAAAAAACGAAACGTTCGCAGCTTTTAGGCGATTTAATTTCAGTTTTAAAAGAATAAGGTTTCTAGCTGAAAAAATATAATTTTTATTTGACGTCTGAAAACTATATGACAGTTTAAATCTATTTGAAAAAAAAATCTTAATCAAACAAGAAAAAAACAGAACATATAAATTGTCAGATATTTGTTGGTCCTTGAAAACAATTTTTCTGTAAAATGTTTTTTTATGAAAGACCTAATTCGTTACCAGATTAACTAATCTCTGTATTATACAGTTATTCATATTCGGAATGGGTTTAATAAATGTGAATACATAGGGTTAAATCAAGAATTAATTTATTTATTTTGGGGATAATGCGATTGTAGCAATTGTTATGGGTAAATAAAAATAATATGTATATTTATTTAGTTGTTTGTTTCATTTAAATATGAACCTACTAATTATATGAAGTTGTCTATGAACAGGGAAAGCCAACTTCAATTTTTTTACACTCTTTCTAGCTATGAAAAAAATATGCTTAGACTACAACATACCTACAGGGTGTTTATTATGTACTTGTTCAAACTTTAAGGGGTGAATCTTTGACTAATTTAAAGAAATAATATAGGGATAAGTTATTTAATTTTATAATACATACATATCAGGGTGTCTCAAAAAAAATGAATATTTGTTTATCATGTTTTAAGAGCCCCCTCAAAAAATCAGCTCAAAAAAATTTTTTTTAGAGGTCGCCCAAGATTTTTAAATTTCCAAAATCGTCAAAAATGTAATATTTTAAAAATTTTTTTTCTCGTTATTTTATCATTTTCTAGGTTGAAAAAAATCTCGATTCTCAACATTTCAAATCAATATTTAATTTTCGCTAAATATTGGTCATTTTGATCACTTTACCCACTTGTAATTCTATTTAAACTAAAACTGAGTACTTTCACTCAAATGTTACTCAAATAAATTCTTCACGCAAACTCGTATTTGTTGCACTGGTACCTAAATAAGAGTAAATGTCCTCATTACTGAGCGAGTTTAAATGTATATTAATTTCGAGTAATTTGAATGGCGTCGTGAAGATGGCACCACTTACATATTGCTTCTGTAATCTCGACCACAGTTGATAAGGGCCCGTTAGATGCTCCAGAAAAGCGTGATCGCCAGGAGAACAGCTCTTAGCCGACGGCGACGGGTCTCAGCTGGCGGGTCTCAGCCAGGATAGGAAGAGGCCCCGCGAAGTGAATTAATTTCGACACTGTATATCCTAATTAATCATTTATGAGTGACTAATAGAGTGAATATTTGACTCAATCGAGTGTGGACAGAAATTGATACATTGAGTAAAATTGAGTGAAATTTGAGTGAATTTTTTTACAGTGAATGAATCTTTTTGTTTCTTTTTGTTTAATTATTTCATTACCTTTCGAACCTAGAATTCTGTCCATCTTTTTTTTATATTCATATACCGCGCATGCATTGTGAAAATAAAATCATTTCAGGATACAGCAAAACAACGAGAGCCGAGTTAAAAAGGTTAGAATAACAAAAGTGTTATTTCGAAAGTGAATACCATTCACGAAGATTTCGACTTTGTTCATTTTTTATCGGATTGCGTACGTCCCGTTTCATTTTTCCGCACTAATCGTTAAATAATCCCAAAGCAAAATATGTTTCACAGAGAGCTTCGCCAAATACTGATTTAGCGTATTGGTTCTCTTTCAAATGTCTGTAAATATCTATACGTAATATTTCAGCGAATATTTGCATTTTATATTTATTGTACAAATGAGAATCGATGGGTTCATGTAGATTTCGAATAGTATTGTCGTTTACAAACCCAACTGAAGCTGATCCGGTTTTCAACGTGCGTGTTGGTATGGACAGGAACATCCCCAAAGGTAGATTTAAAAATTAATTCAGTTTTGTTTATCGCGAGTTATTCAGTATATTTTAATTATACTCGACAGTATATGTTTATATCACATCAGTCACATCATACAAACAACCTACACACGATGTATAGTTTTTGAACAACATATTTTAATTATGTATGTCCACAAACAATTTTATTATATTGATGGTAAATTTCGTTTTGTTGTAATAATATTAGTAAACAAAATATCCCTCTTATTTCTCCCTTTCGCAATTGTAATATGCATCATTAATAGAGGATGCCTATAATAAATTAAAATTTTCTGAATCACACCAAATTCCGTATTGCTGCACTGCACTGCTAGTCAATTTGTCAACCACTTATCAACAACTGAGATTTATTGCCCAGTCGCCCAATGCGGCTGTGTTATACGCCGTTTGCCCGCCCGCGCATTCTTCAACTTAACGTATACATTTCTACCACTGTAGAATACGAAAATATCATAGTTGTTACCATAAAGCAGTCGCGGACTATTTTATTTAGAATATGCCACTGATACCCTGTAAATTTTAGGAAAAGCCCTCAGATTTTGGACAATGTTTACATAAATACATGTGCCCAATTTCAAACTATTTCACTTACTGGTTTTTAAATTATTTAAAAAAATTTAACACCCTGTATCTTTTTAACGAAACGTCCTAGATAAAAACTTTTTAGGAAAGACTTCACCAAAGAATACGAAGTTTCATTTTTGGTCGCCATTTGCGAATCACCCTGTATACACACCAGTAATTGAAAAATTTAAAAGTTCATTTCCTTAATTTACCACTCGGGAAAAGCAATTATTCTTAGCCATAACAAATGCCGTGAGATTAGTTTTTTTTTTTAATACCAGTCAGATGGGAATTTATCCTAACGAGAAAATAGAAAGGGTACACTTTTAACGGCGACCGATCTAAAAGCGAGGGGATGACTATTAAGGAACATCAGTCTCGACGAGAAGAACGATAATGTTGAAGAGTAATTATTAATTCAACGACAGCAAAAAAGGTTCTTTGTTAAAAATTTACGGCTCGCCAGTCGGTGTTTTAGTTCCACCGTAATCAGTCAAATCGAAACGAGAGTTTTTTGTATCCAAATTAAAAGTTTGCGAAGGAAGACGCTTTAAGATTGAGTTATGGAGTTCGTTCTGTTGCATTAATCATCTCGTTTCGAAGGAAATAAGGAGTGGGAAGGAGAAAGACACTGGAATTTGCCTGCTGGAGTGTTTGGTCTTCAATTAGTTTGTAATAGTTTGTTTTCAACAGAAATATGCACAGATTTATTTTGCTTTTTAAGAATTGAATTAATTTCCTTAAAATCTAGTAGTATTTTGTTTGTCTATATTCCACATTGCGAAGAACAGAAAACTGACCTATTTTTATTCCAATAAAACATTTTATCTGGTCCCACTATAGCAAATAGACTACTCGTATTAATACATTGTTTTTAAGGATCTAAGAGGATTTTACCGTAAAAGTGGAAGTTGCTATGGACAACGGGAGGTTTCGAGTTATAAATGCATATTTTATAAACAAGTAAATAGAAGTATTTGATGGACATTACATTTTATTAATTATTATGAATGAATATTTATAGGAATTGTACAGTTATTACGTTATTTGAATAATTATTACCCTCGCGTTTATTAATTATCACATTTCTCTCAAAATGACTTGACGGCTCCATTTCAGTCACTCAATATTATCTGACTGATCCATTAAAGCATCATGATGCGACGTACTACTAGAACCTGGAGTTGAAGTCATTGTAAAGAATCCTGTTGACTATTTCATTTTTGTTACTTAACTTAACTGTCAGCAACATAACTTTCTGCAATTGTGGCTGATTTCCACCCATACCATGTCTCTTGATTGCTAATACATCAACTCCTGTATTAGCCAGTAACGTGGCCGATGTCCTTCGGAATGAATAGCCTGTATATGTTTCAGCTTGGGGTATTTTGATATATCCACGTTCTCATCTATGAAAATAGTTGACTTAATCACTCCACAAACTCGACGGCGACTTTAAAGTTCTTGACTTCTCCATGAAATATGCTAGCAGAATTTTCCCCCTCTCATAAAACTGCATATTTTTATATCACATTCCTGTAAGTATAGCACAGTCATATACTTTTACACGTGCTTTCGGAGATTTTTAATAATACCAAC